TATACTTATTAATGTTCATTGTAGTATTGACTGTGTCGATTTGATCCAGTATTTGAACAGCAATCGACTCATTGTGACCCGCGAGTGTATTAGTCACATTGCAGACATTTTCTTTAGTGGATGTAGAATTCGCATTGTCCATTAAATTTACCTCACGATCTATCGAGGTAGTCCTTGTAATTAACACGCAATTAATATTAACATATGTTGGTACGTTCCTTTTGATTCGTTGTTCCGTTGCACTGGCTGAACTTGGTTGACTTGAGTGTATTTGTGGCAAATGCTATCAATAGTAGTGGCCATAGAGAGCTTTTCATCGAATCCAGCCGATGTGATAGAACATAAATTGTTGAATATCCCGTTATCCTTACACTTGTTTACAGTGTGATTTTTTTCTGACATTTTAATTTCTTCATACATTAATGTAACAGCAGTGGCGTAGCCAGGATTTTTAAATGGGGGGAGCTAACCACTTTTTTGGATAAGTAAAGTAAGAGAGGATATGAGAATTCACCCTTAACCCCCCTCAACATCTACCACCAAGTTTCTAAACGCAATTCAAACATTTTAGTATAGTTTTAAAAATATTTATTAATATATAATTTATAATAATAATAATAATAATTTTGGTTTCAGTGTTCAGTCACTTGCTCCACTCTGACAGCTGTATCCTCTTAGGCAAATTTCTGGCAAATTCAGTTATTATTTCACTTTCATCGAATTGTTCTTTTTTATTAATATTAGCCATAGCTAACCCATTCAGTCTGTTTTCCGACATGGTGCTTCTTAAAAAATTTTTTAAGCGATTAAGTGCTGAAAACGTTCTTTCCGGAGTGAAAGTGGTAACGTGGCGAATAATTGTAAAAGTATTTTAATGTTAGGTCGAAGATTGGTGTGATGAGAGAGTGAATCAAGAGCAGAATTCGGTTTTGGAATAGTATTTTGACTCCATGGTTGCCTCCATATGAACAGGTCAGCTCTGATTGTAGATGATGTATCATCATGGAGATCTTGGACATATACTTTAGCAGCTTTTATAATATTTTTATC